AAATAGTTCAAGGCAATTGATCTTGTCCTCCATCTTGGGTATAATTCACCCCGTTTTCTACTTATTCATAATCGAAATTGGCGACTGTGTAGCACAGAAAAGTGCACAAACACTCCTTCCTAAAAAAACTCCCATTTTGAGCGGATCAAACCGCAGAGCAATGCGAAATTCAAGGCAGCTTGGCTAATGAGTGGTAGTTAGTAACATTTCGAGAGAAAGTCATTATCGAAAATGCTTGTTCAAACCGAAACGACTGCTCCGAGAATCAACGCGTCGGTGGTCACGTGCACATATCTTTCTACAGATAGACAGCAGCAAGGTTAAGCTATTTGATCGTTCAGCTCTTCACAGAACTGTTAGATGAGCAAACCTAATCCTCTGTAGTGCTCCTCAGACCACTGTTTTGCCATTCCGATTAAGAGCTCCCAGATTACTCTCCACCACACACGACCACAATGATTCCTTTTCTCCATGGTTTGAAAAAGAACACAGTGGCGAACATTAATCCTTTTGGAATCTCTTCATCAAGCCAGTACATATCTAATGGTTAAAATAGGAAATAAACATGAAATACGCTGCGTAGATTGGTTAATAAAGTGCAAAACGAGGAGACACAAACGATTGGTTGCCTGGGCCCTCATGTCGTATCCAGTTGGATGCTGCGAGACAGTCAAGAGGGCCACTGAGTGACTTGGCTGGTTGATTCGTTCACACGAAACGTTTTTTAGCAGCACAGTACCGGGTTTCGCAGGCGTATAGCGACTGCCTCGGCGGTAGTCAAGCCACGCCGTTGAATAGATACTGGTAGTCGATTTGGCACTCGGTAAATGATTTGAAATGACTCATTTGGCATGACTACGTGTCCGGTGTCGATTAGGTGGGGTGCAACTGAGCTCCTGGCTGAACTTTTGAAGTTAGTGGTATTCCCTTTCTAGCATCGAAAATCACCATTCCTCGTACGGCCAACTGTCTTCTCCCGAAGAAAATATTCCAGCTTGTTCCAAAAGAAGTACCCACAGGCACTGTGCAGGAAAAGTTACTACTCAGTAGAGTTTCAAAACGGCACTAAGGAAATGGAATGAACTCTGGGAAGAACAAGATGGCCTCGGTCATCTTGAAGTTTTCGGGTAACGAAGAACGTTCAGGACGTTTTTCACCGCGTAATTCAGAAGAAAAACTGCTTTGACCTCCAAGTTTAAAAGAACCTTGAGTCATAGACGTGATACATTACTCATAAGGTCGCTGGAATCTCTTCAACAGCCGGAGACCGGTTTCGCCCTTCTAGGGGATCATCAGGTAGGCGCAGTCCCCGCGCAGTCCAGTTGAATCCAAATTGCACGAATTTCGACTTATACATTCACTTGCATACCATTTCGGTCTTCACGAGAGACTCACCTGGAACCGAACTGAACCTCCCTCGGTTATGACGTTTTTGAGCAACTGAGTGTTCCGCTCCAAGCCACTCCATGTTTCATTTGCCACGATATTCAAGATATCGCACTGTATAAAATATGGTACAAACTGAAACCTGAGGCGGCCTTTGTGCGGCATATTCAGTTGAAGAGTATCATAAACGAGAGATTCAGCTGAGTATCTCGTGGAAGGCGAATCGATATGTAACCAAGTGTATTTGTGGAAACCTGCCCAATTAGTCCTCACATAGAACATAGAGTTGACGGAAACTCGGGGACTCCGCCTACCTGATGAACCCCAAGAAGGGCAAAACCGGTCATGGGCTGTCAAAGAGCTTTCAGCTACCTTATGGGAACCTTTCTTAGATAACCACTCTTTCGAAGTTTTTGACATCTTTGAATCAACCGATAGGCCTTTGACCCTTAGATCCATACTTCATCTTGGGGAAGATGTAAGTACTTGATGATAGTGATAATAATCATCATCATCACCATTGCCAGTAATACATCAGAAGTACACACGGGTCTTAGGTGCCATACGGTCATGGGGGAAGAAAGCCTCAATAAACAAAGAAGGGGAAGGAGAGGGGCAAAGACCAAAAGCCATAGAGTAGAACCACTGTTACAGCTGTCAATATTCCGGCTAAAGTACCTTCCTCAGACAAATAGTCATCAAACAAACAAAACTACATCATTTGCATAATCTATGTGAATTAATGTGATTTCGGTGCCTAGGAAGATAACCTTGTTGTCAAAATTGACCAAAGAAGGGGAGAAGAGACAACTTTGGCGAACTCCACTGGTCGTCATGCAGCTTCTGGATGATTCAGTGTACACCCCAACCCAACAGAAGGTCTGGGAATAAACAGAACGAAGAAATTTTACAAAGTTCAGGGGCGTCCCCCTCCGGCTAAGAATATTACGGGGGAACAACGCTATCGACCGAGTCGAACACTCTGTCACATTTGAACAAAACCGTGACTGTTGGTCGGTTGTATAAGTAATGCTGCTTAAGTACGTGACGTACAGTAAATATATGTGATCACTGCATCCCCGCCACGTGCTGAGGCATATTCACACAAATCCAAAATGACACTGACGTTTTTAACGACACATTTGGTCCCACTCACATCGCACTGTCCCTTCGGATCCTTCTGAGAGTTTCGCGACATGATTGCCCAAGACAGCGAGCAAACCAACGGCCAGTGTATCGGACTATTGATTTTTTCATTCAAAACCCAAGTTACTCAAGAGATAACAGGGATAAGTTATTTGTAGATGGTTGCATGCACATCCACAGAGTTTGAACAATACTCTTCATGAGTGGTTGGTCTCTCGAGACGTTGGGACAGCCAACCACTTAATCGAGCGCCGGTCGAGTGGTGGTGACATGGTGGTGGGAAGGACTAATCGATCGAGGGTGATGGGAAGGTGAAGACGGAAATCATCATCATCGTCAGCTGTGAGATCCGCGTACTTGCCGTATAGTGGTTATGGTTGCCACAGTTTCGTTGGCCGATGATTTGGGGAAGTGGGGTAGGTAGCTGCGCATTGGACGCGGTAGATAGGGGGTTGTCAGTGGACTTTGAATCAAGGAGATTGGGAGGGGGATTTGAATTTAAGACAACAGCTTGGATCCACGAGTGCCATTGAGGGCTATGTCTGATAATGTCTCCAAGGATTTATGTGTCCCGTCACGGAGTTCCAATCCGGGAAGATGGCAATGACCAGCGCAGCTGAGTTTGCTGGTAATGGCTCTCATACGTCGCCGCCAAGGCATTGCTTTACCTCCACTAGTTCGTTACCGTCCTTCACGTGGTTGCGCGAAAAAAGCCAACCGAGCGAGTCGGTCGACTGACATACGCAGCACGTGGCCAAGCCAGCGTAACCGACGCATTGTGATCAGTTCATCTATTGAGGGTGAGTTATTTCTTCCGAA